AAGTCTGGGCTCCTAAATTTCTCACGCAGCTTGGTCAGCCTCCTTATTACTTATGCTGATGGCTCCTGGAGTTAATCATGTGGATAATCCAAAAACCACTTACGTGATATGAAACCGAACAGATTTCCCATCCGAGTATGTTGTATTTAACGTGATCCTTGGATGAATATGCATTCCACAAGGGCACTGTGCTGAAGGGGAGAGGGGTTGGCCCAGGATTGTGCTAGATAGTAGAGGACAGGCACGTCTTCCTGGAACATTGCTTTAGTCATGAACTTTCATGCTTCGAAACTCTTAGTTACTCCCCTTTGTCTACCAAATAAAGTTTCTTCTTTCTCCCTGCTGTTTCAGACTCTTTCTAGGGCGCCTGGGTTGGCTCAGTCGGCTAAGTGCCTGCTTTTGGCTCAGGTCATGATCCCAGGGTCCTGGGATTGAGCCCCCCGTCGGGCTCCCTGCTCAGCAGAGAGCCTGCTTCTCCCTGTTCCTCTCCCCCTGCTTGTGTTCCTGCTCTCGTGGTCCCTCTCTCTGTCAAATAAATAAGTAAAATCTTAAAAAAAAAAAAAAAAGTCAGGTTTTAGCCTCCACAGCCAACTTTAACCTTTGTTCTCACCCTTCAGAGCATGAGTCTTTGGCATGGTCACAACAGCTTTGCTGTCTCTTTTCTCTTTATCCTGGTGTTAGCCATACTTGAGTCCCATTTTTCTAGCCATCTGTCCCTCTAGCCAACATTTATTATGCACCTACTATGTGCCAGTCATTGCGTTAGGGGCATAAGCATGGATAAGATCATCTCTTCTTTCTAGAGGCTCACAGCCCTGTGCAAAAGTGAAATAATGTGAGCAAACTGTTACCCCAGTGAATGTGCTATTTGGGATATAAAGATGCACAGAGGAAGACAGGGCGCTATGACAGAGGAAGTGTTGTTTAGCCAGCCAGATCTTGAAGGATTCTCTTAGCTTTATCCTTTCTTCTGTCCCTGCTGCCACAGTCTGTCACCTTAGCTATTATAATGGCCGCATAAATGGTCTTACTGCTTCTCCTTTTGCCTTGTCCAATCCTTGCTTGATTTGGATTCCAGGATGCCTTTCTATAGCATCCGTTTGATCATGTGAGGTCCCAGATTTGAACCTGAGAGCACTTCCCATTTCTTGCGCAGTCAAGTCTAGATTTTTATATTGGACAGATCTAAGTTCACATCCAGGCTCTGCCCCTTCTTGTAGCTTTGGAACTTCCTTTTCATGTTCTATAAAATGAGCAAAACCACTTTCCTTGCAGATTATTAGGAGAGAGGCAAGGAAGGGGGAACACTTCCTTAGTCAAGGTAGCTATCCAGAAGAAGGCTCACACAGCAGAGTACGCAGAGCCAAGCTGTGGGTACCAGACAGACCCGGGAGCAAACCCTGACTCAGCACATCCTGTCTGTGTGACCTTGAGCAAGGTATCCTAAACTTCTTTTGCAAAATCAGATTAATAACAGTTTGTGTGGCAATTAAGCATTAGAAATAATAGCACAGAATATGTGTTCTCTGTGATATATATAGTAATGTGAAAGCCCCAGCCACTTCTAGGTATTCAATAAAAAGAAGCAGCTGTTATTTATTAATATTGATAGTAGACTAGGCCATTCGCCTCTCTTCCTGTGTCCTCTCCGTCCACCCCCTAACACTTCTGTCCTGCCCTGCCACCCCCGAGACTGCCCCCACACACTGTACTTAAGCTGGGCAGTGTACTTTTACAGCTGTGAGGCTTGGTTCTGACTGCTCCCACTGCCTGGGATTCCCTTCATGTCTTTTTTTTTTTTTTTTTTTTGAGAACTACCACCCTAGGCCTTTCTCACGTATATTTATTTCTCTTCAGCTTCCTCTAGCAAGCAGCTCTCTGACTCCCACCCCCCAGCAGCACCAATTTCTTCATCTGTTTTTCCCCCTCCCTGTACTCTAACTCCATAGCACTCGTCACACTGTATTTTTTTGCCGTTTTCCCAGCTGAACAGAGCCCATGTCTTCTTGTTTCTGGATCCCCAGCCCTGGCACCGTCCCAGGATGTGTAGAGTAAGGCCCTCACTACCCTGAGTAGAAGTAAACTGAATAGAGTTCGGCGGTGCCTGAGCCAGGTCAGGAGGGGCCTTCCCATGCCAGGCTTAGGAGGTAAAACTTTACCCCAAGGTTGATGACTTGAGCCACGGGCGGCCTTAAGTGGGGGTGTAACATGATCTTGTTGTAGATTTGTCCAGTGTCAGGTGCTCTTGGCAATACCAGGAGAGGCATGAGGTGCCCTGTTTCTAGCCCGACGTGTGAGGGCCAGGAGTCTGTGTGACTCTGTTAACCTCACCATCTGAGCCTCTGCTGTTCTGGATGTGTCTGTCCCTGCGTTCGCACTACATGTTTACCACTTGACTTTGAGTTTCTGTGTGTCATGGGTTTGTCTCATCTTCCCGATAAGAGGATAAGCCTCCTATTCCTCTTGTGTGCACAGCCCCCCATGCACCCCCTCCTCCCTAACATGAACTAAAGCCTGTGGTAGGTACCTCAGTAAGTGCTTGTTCAATTAAAATTTAATAAAACTCTTTGGGACTATAAAATTTAGCACAACTAAAAAAAAAAAAAATAGTACAGCTAATCCCTAGAGTGAATCATCTGCATGGGGCCCCGTAGAAATGAGGGGCGAGGCTACATAGTTCATATATATGGATTGTTCACCAAAAATTCTCTCAGAAATTTCCTGCTGTTGGGCTGTGTAGTCAAGAAGAGAGATGATGGGAGATCTAAAAACCTGCCAACTTATAACCATTCGAAGTAGGCTGAACCAGAAGTTACCAGAATGGGGCATTCTTGAATAGGTGCCATTAGAAAAATTCACCCTGGTCCGGCAAAGCTGACCCTGTCAGGCAAGGGCTTCAGTCTTTCCTGGACGTCCCAGCTTTTGGTACCTTTGGCCTTGGCACCAAATCTGGATTGTAGACTCATGCAGAATCAATGAGTAGTACATCCTGGAACGTTCTGGTATAAAACCATGCACTTCGAGCCAGTGCAGTGTGTTCTTTCTAGTGTGGAGGTGTGGACTGGCAAAGTGGGATAATGACACAAGAGCCGTGAACTTCTTAACTTCTTCAGCTGTCCGAGCCAAACAAGATATGCCAGGAAAAAGGAAGCGGGACAGCTCCCGTGAATTGTTTCTGTTGGCAGGAAAACCAGGAAGTGGAATGGTTTCCTCCACAGGCACGCACTTCGCAGTCAGGTTCCCCTGTAAGCACCCCCTGGAACGGGAGATGGTGTGGCTTTTGTCCTGTGGCCAGTAAGCCAGTGTGGTGGTTACCACAGATCTGGGTGCTGGGGATTTTCAGTGTCCAGTTGGATGAGTTTCAACACACGTATATATGATCATGTAATGATCACCCCAAACAATACATAGAACACTTCTGTCACCCCAGAATCGTACCTCTCGTGTGGATCAACGGCCCCCAGCCAATCTAGGCAGCTTCTTCCCAGATTGCTCTCACTGGAGATCCCTCTTCGAGGAATTCATATACAGGATATACTCTGGTGTCTGTGCCCATCAGTTTTTGCCAGCAGTTTATTGAGTCCCTGCCCCACTGGCAACTTCTGCCGATACCCTGCCGCCCCCCTCCCCAGACGTCTACACGCCTGTGCCTGCCTTCATTTCCACGGGAGCAAGTTAGGTTTTTCACCAGTTCTAGGAAAGTGTGGTTCCCCAGCTCAGATCCTGCATTAACTCCCAACTTCTTCCTTCCTCTGACATTTCTACATTAAAAAAAAAAAATGTTTGGAGCATGAAAGGGGCAGCAAATTAAATGCTGTTCCCCCCATTTATGCTCCTATGAGTCTCGGTTATTCCCTCCCTGCCACATGGGCCTCATTGAGATAATAGGATTTGCAAGGAAAGTCTCCTGGAGACATAAGGCTGTGCGTCCCCTCCCCCCCATCCATTAAGGCAGACCTAGGGTTTCCTCTGTAAATCCTGAATGCATTAGTGGCCGCTGGGTTGAGGGTCAAATGTCAAATACTCCGCTGTGAAGGGAAAGGACATCTGCGGCTAATTAGACCACTAATTGGCTAAGCTGGGGACAGGGAAGGGCAGGAGACACGCTCTCAGCTCTGTGCCAATGGGAAGCCAGCTCCCTGCCAGCCTCCAGCTCCCCGAAGGGGGATGAAAGCCAATGGGAAGGTTTGTTTGTGGTGGGGCAAGGCACCCTACCCCATCTCGTGCAGTCAGCCTAAGGCAGGACATGGCTTGAGGAGCTGGCCCTGTTTTAATCAGGAGGGGAAGAGTGAACCAGTGGCCAGATGCCTACCTCTTCTTCTCACTTTAAATTTAATCCTTTACTTTGGAGATGAGTTATACACCCACACAAACTCATCCAGCTTTTTTCCTACCCCAGCCCAATATCTTGAGTGACCCACAATTGGTAGGAAAATGTTAAAGCCCTCAGTACCCACATAGGTTGTATGATATTTATTCATTGATCCACTTACTGCTACGTTTGGCAAATATTTATATAATACTTGCCATATGCAGACCATGGGGCCAAGCACCATGGAGCCTCCAGAGATCAGTTAGATGACCTTGGCTTACAAGGATCAGTAAGTAATACAATCTTGGCCTCACTTAAAGTCTAGCAAGCTTGTGAGGTTGATAAGCATTAATACCACAATGAGGGAGGCTGTGCGATGGCCAAAGGATGGAGACAAACACGACTTCAGGAATCTCAGGGTCAGAGAGAACATTTATGGCTAGACAATCATGGAAAGCTTCATGGAGTAGGTGCCTTTTGAGCCGGAGGTTATCAGTTGGGGAGAATCTCTATAATAGGTGGAGATGAGATTGGGAACTTCTCTGAAGAGAAGAGCAGAAATAAAGACAAGGAGGGAATCCACGGACATACTTTTGGTGAGATGGTGGCGTTCGCATTGTAGCATCTCGTGTCTCTGAGGCAGGTGGCCTCCTAGCTGAGAAGCTCTCCCTTTCCCCTTGCTTCGCAGATCAATGAGCTGAGCAATGTCCCTGTGCCTGTCATGCTAATGCCAGATGACTTCAAAGCATACAGCAAGATCAAGGTGGACAATCATCTCTTCAATAAGTAAGTGGCCTCCTGAGTGGGCTCAGGTTCTGTGGACAGCCCTTTCCCTCAAGGCGGAGAGCTTCTGAGAATCCACACATGGCCGTGCCAAGCTGGCACCTGGCAGGGTGTGACAGCGACACCTGGCTCTCCTGGCAGACACACTGGCTGGGAAGATCCATTCATTATGTGCCTCTTGCCTTTGTGTCATTCTGTCATTCTCCTTTATCCGCCCGCCTCCAGGGTCCCTCTGGGCATGTGGCCCGACCCAGGGTGATTCATTTGGGGCCAGGTTAGGGAGCAGCGAGCTGGTGTCTAGTGGGAGGCTGACAGCCGTGGCCCTATCTTGATCTTTGTCTGCGGCAAGAAGCTGCCAGACATGTTCCTGGCCAGGGTCACAGGCTGAGCATGGTGCCCAGGGGCGCCTTCCAAAGTAATTCCTCCCACTTTTGTTCACTGTGGCTTCTGGGACTAACACTGGTGTCTGGAGGGCGTCTCTGGGCTGGAGCAGCCATTTTGCCTGGAGCAGGTGGGTCCTGCCCTAAGGCCTTGGGAGGCCTTGCTCTGGCAGCCCACCGCAGGCCACCCCAGGGGGCGCTTGCTGCGCACACCCTCCTTTCTGCGCTCGCATCCCGGCGCCACCTTCCCTGGCCTCATAGTCCCCGGCACCCCTTCAGCTGGGCTCTGTCACCCCACTTCCAGACTGTTAGTCTGAAGGGGAAGCTCGGTTTGAAAACACCCCTTAGTGGCCTCTCCCTGCCATAGTATGTAATAATAACATAGTGTTCTAGAAGCCCTCTGTCCTCAGAGCTAAGCAGCCAGCCACACTTGTAGAAGAAAAACTCCTGGGTTTGTGCTCTGCTCTCAAGCCTCTCGCTACCACGTTGCACTTCCCTGGATTTTCCACACGTGGAGCAGTTGTGTCGGATGGCGGGGTGTCCTGGGTGGGGAGCCGATACTGTGGCTGGACTCAGCATCGGGCCCCACAGGCTCAGCCCCACAAAGCTTCCCCCTCCCCCAACGTCTTCAGATGCCAATCACAGGTTGAGATGGTCACCTGGGTCAGTGACCAGCCTGCAGTGGGTCCCGCATTCCCTCAACCTTCCCCCTTGGGTTTGGTTAGTTTGCTACAGCGGCTCACAGAACTTGGAAAAACAGTTTATTTACTCGCTTACTAGTTTATTATAAAGGCTACAGCTCAGGAACGCCCTCTGTGGGTGCACCCCCGTCCCCACGCTTGCACCTGTTCGGCAGTCCGCAAGTTCCCAGAGCCCTGCCTTCATTGCGAAGGTGTGATTGATGGGTCATTGGCAATTGGTAATGGGTTCATCCTCCATCCCCTCTCCCCTCCCTTGCAAGTCAGGGGAGTAGGACTGAATGTTCCAACCAGCACCGAACCTTTGAAGCTTTCTAAAAGTCACCTTTTTTTAAAAAGTAGGTTCCAGGGTTGTCTGGGTGGTTCAGTGGGTTGAGGCCTCTGCCTTCCGCTCAGGTCGTGATCCCGGGGTCCTGGGTCAAGCCCTGCATCGGGCTCTCTGCTCAGCGGGGAGCCTGCTTCACTTCCTCTCTCTGCCTGCCTCTCTGCCTACCTGTGATCTCTGTCTGTCAAATAAATAAATAAAATCTTTAAAAAAAAAAAAAAGTAGGTTCCATACTCATTGTGGAGCCCAACACAGGGTTTGAGCTCATGACCCTGAGATCAAGACCTGAGCTGAGATCGATCAAGAGGCAGACGCTTAACCGAGCCACTCAAGCGCCCCTCCCCTCCGCCAAAAGTCACCTTATTCACATACTCAGATGTGGTTGAAAGGGGCTTGTTAGGAATTTAAAAAGACATGTTTATTGCTCTTATGACTTCAGAAATTCGGTTTTAGTTGCTCTGTACCTCAGACAGGAACAGAGACCAAACACATCACAGTATCGCACCCCCCAAGGAAAGAGAGGCAGCCCTTGGGCCTGAGGCAAGAAAGGAGGGGGCTCTGTCCCAGGGCTCAGGGCCCTGGGAGGGGACATCGCACCACCGCCTGTTCCAGGGTTCACGGCTTCTGGTGAGGCTCCACCTTGACATGCTGGCCTAAAGCAGAGCATCCTGTCCCTTCTCCGTCTTTCCTTATTCCTTTTGTCCTCCCAACGGCTGTTGATGTGCTAATTATTAGACCACAGTGCCCGTGCCAAGGGGAGGCAGAGGAGGCCCCTGCTTTAGGAGAAGCCGCGGCTGTTTATTCCCTCCAAGTGTGTCATCCTGGAGTATAGTCCCTGGAGGGTGTCCCTGAGCAAGGGAACCGTTGTAAAGACAGAGGATTTGGAGGAGGCCACCCTTCAGGGCTATCCTCTCCCCTCCTGGGAGTCTGTGGCTTATTGACTAAGGAGCGGGAAGGGTGGCAGTTGGTGCCAGCATCCCACAGATAAGGCTTCTGGAAAAGCTGGGATCCCAGTCAGCTGACTGAGGACCTCTTCAATCCAAAGCGCTCTCGTCCTCCATCCAGAGGGAAGCCTGGGGCTTCGTGGGTGTAACCATCTTCAGGCCGTGTTGGTAGAATCTTCCTCAGAGGAGAAAATTGGTTGAGAAAAGGCGCTCCTTTTATCGGTCAGACTGCCGGCTGCCTCACAGCAGCTGTGCACACGCAGCCACTCCCCTGTGTCAGCTCGGCCCTTGGGCAGTGGGGCCCACGCTCCGTCTCACTTCTCAGCAGATGAGGTTTTTCCCCTTTCATGTAAATTTTGTCAGAAGAGAACGTACACTCAGAAAAAGTACTCAAATCCTGAGGATACAGCTCGACTCATTTTTACAAAATGAACACAGGGATGTAAAAATTTAAAACTCTTAACACACTCAGCATCACCAGGAATGTTTGTTAAAAGTACCGATTTCCAGATTCCTCTCCAGAATTTCTGGGGCCTAGAAACCTACATTCTGAGCGCCGCAGACTGTTCCGATCCCGGTGACCTGTGGCCCAAACCCAGAGAAGTTTGGATGGAGAATCAGCGGACGAGGAGGGCGGGGCTCACAAAGACATTTCTCCGCTCTGCCCTAGGGAGAACCTCCCCAGCCGCTTTAAGTTCAAGGAGTACTGCCCCATGGTGTTCCGGAATCTCCGGGAGAGGTTTGGGATTGATGATCAGGATTACCAGGTACGGGGTGTCTTTGTGGTCGGAGGGGTCAGGGAATGCAGTGGGGTCTGGAGGCCACAGGACAAGGAGAGGAAAGTCCCCCGTTCTCGTGCTCTGTCTTCCTGTCCTGTCCCTCTCTAGCCTGGGGGTCTCTCCGTGGTACCATCGGGCTCCTGGAGGGGTTGGGGCCCAGAAGTGCTCTGTCTCCTCTCCCCAGGAGGGAGAGCAGAGGGAGGGGGATGGACTGTGGAAACTCCTCATCTCAGTCTGACATTCCCCGACTAGGCCCAGGAACCCTTCTCCTTCTTAAAAGAGAGAATTGTTGCCAGCAGATGATGAGGCCTCTTAAAGCAGATAAGACAGAGTAGAAAAGGAAGACTTGGAGGGGAGTGTGACCTTGGCAGGCATGCATGCTGCCTCCCCTGGGACCCGTGCGGCCGGCGACTGCCCCCTCTCAGGGCTGATGATGCGGCCTTTGGCCTGCTTGGATCGCTCCTCCCACCCAGTCTTGGGGACATTACCGTCTGACTCCTAGGCTGTGGTTTCTGTCACTGCCCCACCTAGCACCTTCTGTGGACCTTCTTCCCCTGGCAGAAAGCCTGCTGGTGACGGTGGGAGAATTTTCCACTTCACCTTGCTAGCAGTGAGAAGTTCGGCTGACCTGCTGTGGTCTGGGGAGGGGGCTGCAGGGGAAGGACCATACGGCCTAGTGTGGTCTAAGATGGGTATCCAAATCTGCAGTACCGTAACCCCTCCCGGCCGGGTCCTAGCATGCCTTTCATGGAGTAGGTCCCGGGGAGCAAGAGGCACCTGGGTGAGACCCCTCTCCTCTCCCGTCTACTCTGGAGGGAGGCCCCAAAGATGCTCTCCCCAAGAGGAGGGCGCAGGGATGCGGAGGCCGGAAAGCTCAAGAACAGCTGTGCCTGAGAGGTGCTGGGAGATGCCTCCAGTCCCCTCTGTTGGGACCGAACCCGGAGCTAAACCATGACCTGATTGGAGCTGGAGGTTTTCTGATAACCTGCTACTGTTGCAACCTGAGGCTGCTCAGCTGTCTTCCGCTGTGGCTCCTTCCCTTCCCTCCGCGCTCTCACCACATCCTCTCCGTGTCTGCATTTTTTTCTCTAATAACCTTGTGGGCAAGTGACTGTGCTCCCGACTAAAAGAGGCAGGGCATGTGGTGTTCGGGGAGGGGACTCTGACCACGTGGAGTGCCAGAGCCCGCTGCCTGGAAATGAGGCAGGGATGGGAGCATGCTTCCCCGTGAGGCTGGGGGCCTGCTCGGCTTTGTGGAAGGAGGACCAGGCTGGGGGAGTGAGGCCCTCCGCTGTAGCGCCTACTCGACCTTTCTGGATGGGGGACACTCTGTTTTGGGGGTGCCCTTTTATTTTTATTTATTTTTTTAAAATAATTTATTTATTTATTTGTCAGAAAGAGAGAGAGAGAAAGCACACAAGCAGGCAGAGAGGCAGGCAGAGGCCGAGAGAGAGGCAGGCTCCCTGCTGAGCAAGGAGCCGGATATGGGACTCAATCCAAGGACCCTGGGATCATGACCTGAGCCGAAGGCAGCGGCTTAACCCACTGAGCCACCCAGGCATCCCTGGGGGTGCCCTTTTAGGGAGCATCTCCCCACTTCAGACTTGAGTCTTCCCTGTGAGGGTGGTGCTCCCTCCTTCCCCCAGGGTCTCCTGAGGAGGCACCGGGGGAGGGCAGAGTGTCCGACCCTAGGTAAGAGCCGAGGGAAGGGCTCAGAGAGGAGGCCTTTCTGCGAGCAGATCCCCACATGTGTCTGCTTGGGAACAGGGACAGCTGGGGCTTCCTCTCTGCCTTGCCTTTCAAAGGTCTTCTCCTGGCGTCTGCTTGGTGAACACATCCCTTTGGTTGACTCACACCTCCCCCCTCCACCCCCTCTAGAGGCTTCTACTGCTCTCTGAGCCCAGTGGGAATGGGGCCTCGAGGAAGAGCAGTGGCAGAGCCAGAAAAGCTCCCCAGAACTGCCTCATAGCTCTGCACAGACAAGCAGGAGTGTGAGGTGAGGGGAGAGGGGCTGGGCAGAGAGGCAAGCAGCACCTGTCTGCTGTGGGAAGGGTTTTCCAGGACCAGGGTATGTCCAAGAAAAAGAGATTACTGTCCATTGCTGCTTTATGCTGGACATCTTGACTAGTCCCTAAGCTTTGTCTTTGTCACCCCAGGAAACTGGGAAAACCATCTTGGACTGCCTCCTTGTGTTCCAGGTCAGGAAATTCAGGAGTGGAGAAGTGAAATGGCTCATGCAAGGTCAGGTTACCCGTGGGCTTCAGGTCAGGGCAGGGATCCCTGAGGCAGGGATCTCGTGGACAGGGTCATTCTCAGGGGTCAAAAGGAAAGGAAGTGTTGGTGCAGCCATCCCGCTGCCCCTCCGATCAGGGATCAGGAGCAGGTGGTTAGGAGCAACTCTTGTCACCCTTCAGGAAGACCTGTGGGAGAGAAGTGAACTTCCCATGACACCAGGGGAGGGTCAGGGCCCGCCTATCTCAGCGTGGTTGGCCCAAGTAAAGGTCAGAGCCCTCGTTCCTCTCCCAAGACCAGCCTGCTTTTGTCTCCGTCCCTCAGAACTCAGTGACGCGCAGTGCCCCCATCAACAGTGACAGCCAGGGCCGCTGTGGCACACGCTTCCTCACCACCTACGACCGACGCTTTGTCATCAAGACTGTGTCAAGTGAGGACGTGGCCGAGATGCACAACATCCTAAAGAAATACCACCAGGTATGGTGAGTCCCGAGCCTGGGTGGGAGAGGACGGGTGGCAGGGGGAGGACAGAGGCCCTGGGCGGCTTCCTGGGGAGGGATCAGGCCCCTTGCCGTGGTCCCTGCCTCCTGAGAATCAAGCACTTGGCCTTCCCCCGGGCCTGGGTGTGGAGCTGAAATGCCTGCTTGCAAAAAGGGAAAAAGCAAGAGTGAAGGCACGTCCTCCACTCACTCAGATCCCGTGGAACAGCTGTTTCTTGTCAGAGTGGGGAAGTGGCTCCCCGTAGCACCTGCCGCATTTCTTCTAAAAGAAGTCCCCGGGGGCTGGGCAGGGTCGCTTCCTTTCCCAGGCAGGCTCTCCGCAGGCCCTGGGCCTAGTACCTGCGCCTTCGGGGAATGCTGCCTTCTCTCTGGGGCGCCAGGAGGTGGTGAAAGGGACTTCTGGTCTTTGGGGCTACAACGGTAACCTCTGGGGTGCTGCATGGCTAAGAACTTCTGGCAGAGGGGGAGCCGCTCCTCTTTCCCCTGCAGCCCGCTCACAGGCCTGCCTCAGTTTATCTCCGGCAGTAGAATCTGGTTTCACACGGAAGTTTCAGTGGCGGCCCAGGAACAGGAGACCCAAAGCTCTCACTTGGCGGGGCCAGCTGGGGGCGGGAGTGGCTGTGGCCTCGTTAAGTCCGCCATGACTTCACAGGACCCGTCTGAAAATGACTGGCCCAGAGGCTGGACTCCCGAGGAGCGTTTGAGCCTGGGCAGAGCCCTGGCCGTCTGGCGCCTTCCGTCGTTCCTTAGCCGCCCATCCATCCTCCCTTTGCTCTAGTTCATAGTGGAGTGTCACGGCAACACGCTCTTGCCACAGTTCCTGGGCATGTACCGCTTGACCGTGGACGGCGTGGAGACCTACATGGTGGTCACCAGGAACGTGTTCAGCCACCGCCTCACTGTACACCGCAAGTATGACCTCAAGGTAACGGGCTCTGCCCTCCTGCGCTTTGCCCCCCCCCCCGCCCCCGCAGGCTTCCTCATGACGGGAAAGCCTGGGAGCAGGGGTTTCAGCACAGGCAGGTTACCCTGGAGTTGATGTGCCCAGTTCCTCTGGGTCAGAGGCTGTTGGAAGTCCAAGTGACAGGGACAAGAGGTTATTTAACGTGCCTCATTTATGTCACCATCGATGTTCTTCAGCTCCCGTCAGGGGCGTGTGCTCTCCGAGGGCAGCCACCGGGAGACAGGCCCTGTGGACTGACAGCACACGCACATTTCTAGACACGGAAAGGAACACGCCTGTGCCTGGGAGCCACAGTGCTCCACGGTTCTCGAAGCCGGCTTCCTGACTTGTCACCTCACGCCCCTGTCTCTCTGCCCACTGCAGTCACAGTGCTGTCCTTTCCATTCCTTCCTGGTCTGTGCTCTTTGCCTCCCCAGCCCCTCTCACGGCTGCCTGGCCTCTTCCCTCCCTATTGTCCGTCTCTGCCTTCCGCCACCTGATTTCTTCCTGCTCGGCTCAGATGTCAATTCCTGCCGGAAGCCAGCCTGGACCGCTGTCCTTCCCCAGCCCAGACCCACCCCTGTGCCACCTGTTCTCGGCGTGTCCTCCCGCGTTCCACCTCTCACCAGTGTGATTAATGGATTAGTTAATCATGTAACCACTTGTTAATGCCGCTCTCCCCTGTTGGAAGGGAGGTCTCTGAGGGCAGGGACTGAGTCTTGGTACAGTCCTGTTTGCAGAGCGCGAGCCTCGGGCCTAATCAGAGCTCTGTCAGCGGTCTGTGGCGGAGGGCGTGAACAGCTGCTGCCTCCTGGCCCCTCTAGGATTCTAACCAGCCTCCTTCAGTTCACCTGCTGCCTCTCCCCAAAGACCGGTGCATGTTTTCCGCCCAGCGGAGTTTGCCTCAGCTGGATCTCTCCTGACGGCTCTTGTCCTTGCAGGGCTCCACTGTTGCCAGAGAAGCCAGCGACAAAGAGAAGGTATGCTGGGACTGGTACTGATCAAGTGTGGTCTGGGTCGCTTGGAATCAGAAATGCCTTCTGTCAGTCTTCTTGGCCCTTCCTCCATCACAGCCCCTATCCTGGTTCCCACACGTGCTCTCGGTCGGGGCTGTGTCAATGGGCACCTGCCTGGCCTTGGCCTCGCGCTCCAGCCTTGCCGTGTGTCCACAGTCCTGCAGACCTGGTGGTTTCTGTCTCATTGGCCAGCCTCACTTGGGGTGTGGCTGCCTGGGCCCCGAGGTAGTTCAGGCTCAGCAGGAAGACCTGCTTTGGTCTGTCCTCCCTGCCTGCCGTTTGCCACCTAGTTGCCATCCCTGCCTGCCCAAGGCCTGGGGCCTCTTGTGCTGACCCCGTTGATGGGACAGGCCGCCCTCTGTGCTCTGAGGACCCTTCCTCTTTTACCTCATGGGGTGAGTGTCTTCGGCCGCCCGGCCTCACACTGCTGTTGCTCTCCCAGGCCAAGGACTTGCCAACGTTCAAAGACAATGACTTCCTCAATGAAGGGCAGAAGCTGCATGTGGGAGAGGAAAGTAAAAAGAACTTCCTGGAAAAACTGAAACGGGACGTAGAGGTACTTACTAACCCTCATTTTCACCTTGGTTGAGGAGGGCCCCCTCTTGTCCCCAGAGCAGGAGCCTCTCTAACCTTAAGAAAAATTGAATTCATGGGGCGACTGGCTGGCTCAGACGGCAGAGCATGTGACTCTTGATCTTGGGGGTTGTAAGTTCGAGCCCTGCGTTGGGTATAGAGATTACTTAAAAATGAGATCTTTTTAAAAAAAGAAAAGAAAAATTGAATTCACTACTTTCCACACTCCTGGAAAGGAAGGCTGGTGATTTGAACAGTGTGGGTGCAAATGAGGGTTCCATCACGGGCAGCATGTTCATGACAGTAGTCTTTGTAGCTCAAGTTGGAACGTTTTCCTTGATCCCTCACTATTCTATTCCAACGCCTTTTTCAAACACTCCTAAACTTCCTTTCTGGAGGTGTTCCCATCGTTGGGGGTGGGGATGTTGGCCATCAGAGCAAAGGGAAGCCAGCTGTGAGCGCCACCAACCAGGCCTTTCTCTGGCTCCAGTTCTTCCCTCACCCAGCGGCCTCCTGGTGGAGCAGGACTCGAGGCAGAGTTCTTCTGGGGAGGACAGGTGCTAGATAGCGGATGTGTTACCTGACCACTTGATAACTCGGTGTCTCCTGTTTCCATAAGTTGGGAACACATAACATAAAATTTACCATCTTAACCATTTGTAAACGCACAGCTCAGTGGCATGGAGTACAGTCACTGTGTTGTGCAGTTGTCACAGCCATCCCTCTCCAGAAACTTTTGTCTTCCCATCCTGAACCTCTGTCCCCATTACACACTGATTCCCCACTTCCCCTTCTCCCTAAACCCTGCCAAGCGCCATGCTACTTTTCATCTCTGTGAACCGGACTGTTCTAGTACTTTATATGTAAGTGGAATCACACAGTACTTGTCTTTTGTGTCAGGCTTTTGCACTTACCGTAATGTCTGCAGGGTTCATGCGTGTTGTAGCACCTGTCAGAATGGCCGTCCCTTTAAGGCTGAGTAATATTCCATCATATGTGTACCCGTTCATCCGTCAAAGGGCAACTGGTGTAATAGGTAAGATTTTCTAAAGAAACAGAATGAGTAGATGGTGCCAGTGGATGGATGGGTAAATAGTTAGGCAGCCCCGTGTTTAGTATAAGGAATTGACCCCCCCAGTTATGGAGGCTGACAGTCCCCCAGAGCTGCAGTTGGCGGGCTGGAGAGACCCAGGAGAGCAGACGGTGTGGTTTCGGTCTGGAGGCCAGCAGGCTCAAGATCCGGACGGGCCAATGTTTAGTCTGTATCTGAAGGCCGGAGAAAACTAATGTTCCAGCTCCAAGGGACTCAGGCAGGAGGAGTCCCTTTCACTCACAGGAAGTCACCCTTTTCTTTCTACTCAGGCCTTCAACTGATTGGGTGAGGCCCACCCACACTGGGGAGAACAATCTGCTTTACTTAGTTTGCTGAGTCGCATGTTAATCTCATCTACAGACACCCTCACAGATGCACCCAGAGTAATATCTGACCAAATGCGCACCAAAATTTAACCCTCACACTTGGACCCATTCACTGTGAATGCTGCTGCTGTGTGCGTAGGTTTTGCGAACGGCTTTCTTTTCTAGGAAGCTTTTCCTTCGTCACCGCCTGCTCTGTCTGTGCCTTTATCCTGCCTCTCGGTTTGTTCAGAGTCTTTCTCCTCCCTGTCCTCCCTTTCTCCCTACACTGCTGAGAGGAAGTTAAGGCAGTTTACACATTTCATTTGTTTTCCCTTGCCTGTTGCTTCCTGAGTGTTCTCAGGTGGATAGGCGTGGGTGTGGGTCATAGCCTTTCCCTCAGGCCCCTCTCCTTGGACCTTGAGAGGGGCTCATCTGGAGGTGCTTGGCATGGTGCTCCCCAACTTTCTCTCTAGAGGAGAGGCTGCAGATCTTCTCCCATCAGGGCTGCTTGTGCTTTTAGAACCCCAGGGGCCTGTGTGTGGGGCTGTGCTGGTCACCGTGGTCTGTCTGACAGTTTCCCGGTGACCATGGCAGAGTGCCCAGCATGTGTTGCATGGCGGCCGTAGGCCGCTTCACTGAGGATTTGACCCGTGACTGCAGCCTCAGTATTCGCTGAGCTGGACTTCTGGCTGGCTGGCTCCGTCTGATCAGCCCCATACTTTCTCGCTCTTCAAGTCACAGAGTCCTAACCTGGGAATCACAAGACACCATCCCGCTCACTGACCCTCATGCAGGTGTGAACACTGCGCCACAGCCGCTTCGGACCTTCGGGAAGAGGTTCGAGTGTTGCTTGGGTCTTCTCAGGGCTGTTCCCTTTCCTTTTTGTTTTTCTCCCTGTTCTTATCCTGACTGGTAAAGGAAGCTGAGTTAGTGGCATTTCGGACTGTGCCTGTGGCCCTCAGTGAGAAGTACGTGTTACCTCCCAGCCTAGCACACACACACAACTGAACTACTGTCTACCTACTTCACGTGACGACCTCTCACATTTTCTGCTCTATTTCCCACTTCATCATAAAAAAATATCCCGGCTCCAGGCTACTAGACCGGATCTTGGGCCCCCAGTGGGTGTGATTTATGGCCTGAAGGCCTGCAGCCTCCTGTTCCTCACTCAGACTCGCCACAGCCTCCCTCAATCCCAGACCCTGTGGGCCTCTTCCCTTGGCCTTCCTGCTGCCTTTCCTCCTGCAGCTCCTGCCTGCCGGACCACTCCTCATCGTCAGGCGGGCTCACCTCCTCTCCCCAGGGAGACCCCTCCCCCTGCTGCCCTGGGATCCCACAGCTCCTTGCCCTCGGGAGTGGCTGTCCGCCCCGCCGGACACTGAGCCCACGCAAGGCAGAGACTCTGATGGCTTGTTCTCACCTGTGTTTCAGAATTGGAGAATGGACTTGAAGGGAGTGCCTTTTCTCCCCTTTCCAGGAGCCCCAGGGATGCCCAGTGTAACCTCTCCTCCCATCTCTCCTTCCGCACCTTCCCTAGTTCCTGGCCCAGCTGAAGATCATGGACTACAGCCTACTGGTGGGCATCCACGACGTGGACCGGGCGGAGCAGGAGGAGATGGAGGTGGAGGAGCGGGCCGAGGACGAGGAATGTGAGAATGACGGGCTGGGGGGCAACCTGCTCTGCTCCTACGGCACGCCCCCCCGACAGCCCGGGCAACCTCCTCAGCTTCCCCCGCTTCTTCGGCCCCGGGGAGTTCGATCCCTCCGTTGATGTCTATGCCATGAAAAGCCATGAAAGTAAGTAGGGGCCCACGTCTGCCCTGCCTAGCCCTGGCCCCCATGCGATCCCCTCAGGCCCGTTGTTTAGCTGCCTCCCAGGGTGTCTGGACCCCTGCCTCGTTCACTGCTGACTTTGGCCTTTTCCTGCCCGCAGGCTCTCCTCCTGAGCCACCGTCAGTCACTCTGGCTCCTGGGGCCCTGGGGTCCTTCCCTGTCAGGCTTTCCTTCCCATCTCTGCTTGTCCTGGATGTCTGAGGCTGGGTTTGGCCCCGATTCATGGTTCTAAACACTTAGACTGTCCACAAACAAGAGAAGAGCTCTGAAGGCTCTGAGAAAGGCCGCAGTAGCATTCCTCTCCTCAAGTCTGGAACGCTCGGGATGGGTCTGGGTCTCAGGTCTGCAGGCTTCTGAAGCCGTCTTCTTTCTGTTGTTCCCCCACCCCCTCCTCCTCTTACCCTGCTCCCCCTCCCCTGCAGGTGCCCCCAAGAAGGAGGTCTATTTCATGGCCATCATCGATATTCTCACACCGTACGACGCGAAGAAGAAAGCTGCCCATGCCGCCAAGACAGTGAAGCACGGGGTGAGTCCCCCGCTGCTGCCCCACACCCCCCACCTCCTGGACCCCCCCTGGGCACCCCTGCCGCTCTCCCTGCCAGCTGGTCCGCCCCGTCCGTTTCCCCCTGGTCTGCAGGCCACAGGGGCTGAGCATGCTGGCTCCTCTCCCCAGGGCCGCTGGGTATCACTGCAGCTAGCAGCTTTGTTCACGTGCCCACACTGCTCCCCAAAGAACCCTTTTCCCCTTGGACTTGAAGCTCCTGTCTCCAAATAGGGACCCTGCCCAGAGATCCCGAGTCTCTCCACCACCTCCCCACCACCTTGCTGCTCCTTCAGTGGGCGCAGGCTTGGAGTTGTGAATCAGGAGTCAGGCCACGGCCTCTCTGAGATGGACCCGTTCCTCCGGGCAGCCTGCCAGGCTGGGCTGTGGCGTTGTTCTCACTCCAAGCCAGAGGCTCCTGAATCCCAGGCCCCTCCCTGCTGGAGCCTCCCAGTAGCCTCCCAGTTAGGGCGGGGAGCTCGACCTGGACCTGAGTCAGCCTCTATGTGTTACAGGCGGGGGCCGAGATCTCGACCGTGAACCCTGAGCAGTACTCCAAACGCTTCAACGAGTTCATGTCCAACATCCTCACGTAGTTACCTTCTACCTTCAGCCAGAGCCAGAGAGCCGGATGTGGGGTCGGGGTCGGAAAAGGGAGAGGGCGTATTTGGGCTGGATGGGAGGGCGGGGAGCAGAGGGGAGGGTGGGGACCAGAGGGGAGGGCTTTAGTGAGGAGCCAGCACCCAGGACAGAAAGACCAGTGGGGGTGGGGAGGGGAGGTGCTGCGTGGACACGTGCTCCCACGGTGCACCTCACCTTCCGCTCACCCTTGACTTTACCCCCTTCTGACCCAGGTCGAAGAGGGGTTTCTTTTTTGTTCCCTTGTAACCTTTTACAATACCTTGGGGCTAGAGAGGACTTTGTGGGTTTCTGTGGGTTCCGTCTCTGCGAGCTCATTGCTCCAGGTTTGGTGTTTATAATGATGTGTGTCATCACCCCGTCACCCTCCCCATCCCTGCCCTGCTCTGGGTCCCCTTCGGTTAAAAGGGCGCCCCACGGGCCCGGCCAAGGGTCCACATGCTCCATTGACAGAGGACAGGAGGTCAGACACCTCAGCCCTGCTGCATTGGATCTTGTCTGGATTAACTTTTGAATGTTATGGAGTATTGTGCACAATATCCTCCTCCTTTTTGCCTCGGATCCAAGTGAAATGTTACCGGATTCCTCCATGTAAAAGCTGTCCTCCTGAAGGAAGGCTCCAGATTAGCACCAGGCATCTTGGATGAGGAGAGATCTCCCAGGGGCGTGAGTTCATCCTCGTGGGATGGTTGGGGGTGGGGGTCGCGGCCGGGCTGTCGGACGTCAGGTTCTCACAGAACCCCGTGAACATCGTCCATGCCCCTGGCCCCTGGCCTTCCTTCATCCTGTCCATAAGGCCTGCCTTCCGCTGGGTCAAGAGGAACTAGGAAGCATCTTTACGGATAGCAGGACCCCCAGTCGCCACTGGGTGTCAGATGAGACCTCGAGTCCTCCATCCATTTGCTTCCCTCTGACCTTGGCCCCGGGCACCCTCCCTCATAGCTGAGCTTCTCGCTGGGCCACATCTCTGCCTGCCTGGGCCCCTCCCTGCAGAGAAGCCTCTTCAAACACCAGGGCCGCGGTGTAGACGATCTGAGGCCCATGCCTGTGGGTCTGTCGCCTGGACAGTCGTGGACAGCAGGGGGTGCACCCCACCACCACCTTGGAGGGTGGCATCCAAGCCTGAGGTTATTTCAGAGTCACTTGAGTAGGGGACCCACGAAATCCAGTTTGGAGGCTTGATTTAGGGATCGCGTGCCCTGGGCTTTGGGGGCATTTTCCTTCGCAAACTGCCTCCCCTGGCCTTCCTCAGGAGTGGCATCCTGAGCGTCCTTCAGGCCCTCTGCCCAGCTGCTGAGTGACCCAGGACTCAGGACCAAGCCACATGTCCTCCTGTGACGCCGTCAGAGCAGTCTGGTCTGGCTAGGAAGGAAACAGCCCTGTGTCAGAACTGGGGACTTAGGATGAGATACGATGGAACTTGTACATAACCCCACACATGCGAAGCGAGTCTGTGGAAGCATTTGGAACAAATGGATTGGTTTCCTGTGGCTCCCTCCAAACCTGGCGGGGCTCAGCTCTTGGAGCAGGAACCAGCGCCGTGTCGGGGCCCTACCCACAGCTTTCAGGTTAGGGAGGAAGGGAGGCCACATTCTTGGAGCCCACTGGGACTGCTGGAACCTTTCTGGAAGAGGCAGACAGATCAGACAGCCCCGGCCCCGCAAAGGGGCGAGACCACCAAGTGACTTGGGGAAGAACTTGGAACCAAGTGGCTCATGGAGAAAACCAGTCAGACTTAGGAAGAGATTATGTAGGAATAATGTCTGGACTTGATTTCCCCACCTCCTAATCAAGAATGAAAATTTGGATCTGCCCCTCAGGAGGCCCAGCGTCTTCAGAGCCTGGTGGGCTGTCCCCCCGCCGCGGCCACAGCCTTGGGCTCCCGGCGGCTTCCTGCGCTGGGTCTGCTGATCATGTTGCCATCATGTGTATGAAAAGTGTAACACGATCCTTCAGTTAAAGATGAGCTACCAGGTATCTAACTTCTTTAACATTGAGTTTTTGTGTTTTCGTGGGTTTCTTCCCCCCCCCCCCCATATTGTTTACATTTTGAGAGTAGCATTCTGTTTCAAATGCTCTTTTTGTTTTTCTGACAGTATTGTTGTTTGGGTAAAAAATCTGAGCTGTGGTTGGGTGGATTTGAGGTGGGTTTTTTGTTTTCTTTTGTTTTTTGTTTTTAAGGTCATTCTCTGTGCTATCTTCAAAACCTTGGGTTTGGCCCTCTAATTCCTTTGGCATTCAAGTGTTCAAAAACTGTTTATTTTGGTTTAAAACAGTTTTCTTTCTCTTTTTGTAATGATGCAGGTATATTTGGGTTGCGGTCTGAATGTGGAGAAAGTGAACTGGTCCCCAAGCTTTCATCTGCCCCCATTCCTTTCTCCGAGCCCCACCATTCCCTCTGTGGGCTGTAGAAGGCATCTGAGGGCAAGGGACTAGGCTCAGCCTTCCTCTCTGGAGCTCCGAAGAAAAGCTCCAACAGTTTCCCAGCACCCCGGAATAGTTTGGGGTTTCCCAAGAACAAGGGTGTAAGAATAGGACAGGACTGCCGGAGTGGAGCCTGGATGGGGAAGCCCGTGTGCAGTTCCTCTCCGTTCCCCACTCTGACCACCTAGCCGCTCACAGCTTCTCCCGTCCTGAAGCCTACGGCTGAGAAACCCCTTTCCCAGGCCTCCCAGCCCAAGCGAGGGTTCTCTGGAAACTCCACTTAGACCACTAGATGAAGGCCTCTGGCCCTTGTTCCTTTTAATGAACCACTGAGTCTTTGTCCCCCAGTGCAAGCTCCTTCCCTGTGCCCTGCGTTTTGGGGGTCCCGGGCAGAAGCCAGCAGTTCCAGGAGCAGCTGAAGCAGCGCTCCGTCTCTCCTTATCTAGCTCAGGGGTTACTGGTCTGTGGCGGGTGCCACGAGTCGCCCCTGTGGCTGTTCTCAGTGACACCCCCTAAGTTTCCACCACAGGCAGCTCTTCCTTCCCTCTCCCTTCCTCCTCTTCCTTTCTCTTGCCTGTGCTTTAGGCCTCAAACTGGTCCTCTGGTCGTGCTCAGGCCTGGGGACTACAGACTCCTACCCTAATGACGTTCCCCTCTTCAATCTGCCAGGACCTGCCCCGGGGAGGTGGACCAAAGACCCGGGACTTTTCTCAGCAGCCAATCCCACCCCCTGTTGTCTTTTTACTAATTCAGGTTGGGAAGGAAAACACTTCAGCACTCCCTAGCATTTGAGCTACTCAAGCGTTAGGGGCAGAAGGGACCGCGTGTTTCAGCAGCCTTTACAGCTCTGGCCTTAGAGCTGTGGCTCCCCCGAGTCTAGGGACCTCACTTCCTTTTGACAGAAATGTGGGGAGGGTGGGTCCAGCCTGAGCACAGGAATGCTAGGGAAAACCCACTGGAACAACTGCCCCCAAATCCACCAGCTGTCTGCAGGGGGCAGGGACGTGGCCCACCTTCCCTCAAGAGACATGCCATGGAGGAATAGTGCCTCCAAAGGGAAGAGGAGACTCAGCTGTCCCCAGTGGGTCGTGCTGAGATCCTTGGGAGGCAGGGGAGGAAACTTCCAGAGGACCCCCCTTCCCCTGCACAGAGCTGTTTCGTGAGTTGTGAACCAGCAGCCTTCAGCGGGGGGCCGGAGCGGCTCGGCACACCCGAACATCAGGTCAGATTACTGTCCTCAAAAAGTGTGAACGAAGCTTAGACTGACCTCGTGGGGGAGCGGGATACACTAGCACCCGTCATATGTACGTGACTTCTTGGTTTCCTCACTGCGACCTCCATTTTTTTAAAATAGGAATTTTCAGCCCCTTGTGCTTGTCTAATGTCTGCTCGGAACAGTTCGAGACCCTGTTACTGTTTTAAAATGCATGCATGTTAAGACGAATCTTCAGCCCAAGGAACAAATAAAACTCAAAAGGCTTTGTGTACACATCTGTCATGGGTGAGTCCTTTAGAAATGAGCTTCATTTTTTTCTCCAGAGTTAAAAGGCTGGGGTCCCAGTTTCATAGGTTGCTTGGACAAAATCCGTGTATGACTTGAGTTTGGAGAAAGCATATAGGCTAGGACGTTGGCTGCCTACTTTAAGATCGGCCTGGTGAGCAAGGAGCAGGGGCACCAGAGCAGAGCGGGTCGCCATCAAGACCTTACTGCGCATATCAAGAAGTGGACGCACTGCCTGCCCCCTCACTTCTCCAGCTGGGTAAGACCAGCAGTGGCGAGGAGCTACATGCCTACGACACCTGTCCCAGCGCTCCCCTAAGTAGCTACATAGTCACTTCTGTGTATCTCCTGTTCTCTAGGTAAACACTTAGCTTAGAAGCCGGGGGTTCTCCCAGTGTGGTCCTCGACCAGCAGTATCAGCAGCAGCTGTGAATCAGAAATAGAAACTCCCCAGTCCCTCTGCAGGTCTGAATCAGAAACGGTTCTAACAGGCCCTCCAGGTGGTTCTGATGGAGGCTCAAGTTCAGGAGCCACCACCCCAGCTTGCAAGGCTGGAATCATTTGGGAAGCTTTTAGGAGAGACAGGTGCCCAGGCCTTTAAAAGCTAGTTAGATCAGAATCTTGAGGGATGGAATCAAAGTATCTGTGACTAACATGCAGCCAAGGTTAAGAAACGCTGAACCACAAGGGTATTACTTGTGGCTACTTGGCCCAGTTTCTTCCTGAAACAATGAAAGATTTAAGTTTTCGAGCAGAGTACAGTGAAAAGGATTCTAGGCTTTGGGGTCAAATGGAATATGGGTTGTCATCGTTGCTCCTAAAGTGGCCTTGAGCAAATTAACTGCCGTTAAGTCACCACGATGATTGAATTCTAGGATGTGTAAGGCACTGCCAGGCCTAGCGCCCAGCAGGCACTCAGCGAGGTGTACCAGCAGAGGGCGCTGCAAGTCCACAAGAAAACCCAAGGGCTGCGCGGGGCCCTGAGGAGCTCTTTGTAACTCCCCAGCTGGGGACAAAGATCTCTGGTAGGAGACCCAAACACAAAGAAGCAGAAGTGAAAGAAAAACTATTTATTTACTTAAAAAAAAAAAAAAAAAAAAAAAGGGTTAGTCCATGCGGGCCTTCAGTGTCCTGGTGGTGATTTTGTCCTTCTCACTGCAGGGGGAGAAAGTCACAAAACATCTACATGATTCTAGAATGCAGAACAAAGAGCTGTGCTGCCAACTCTAGGTTTTACTGTTTTGCTCCTGTTATATTAACAGCCTGTCTGCTAAGCCTGGGATGAGAAAGGGGAGGAAGGAGAGGAAAGCGAAACAGGGAGTCAAATGAAGGACCCCCACAGCGGGACGCAACCAGAGCCTAGGTGACTTGGGACTTGACTGCGCAGCCCTCCAGGGAAGGGCAGGCGCCCCCGCCCCCCAAGCCCGGAGAACAAGTCACAGGAAGGAGGTGTGTTGCGTTTCATCCCAAGGAACACAAAGGACCCCAGTGGTCAATTCTCCGTATCGGCTGCAGTCTGTTTGTCATGATAATTAAGCAAGCTCTCCCACAACAAAAGGGTCCAAAAGCTTATTTTGGGATGTGCCCCAGAAGAGCTGTTGGGAGGACTTCTACTTCATCGGATCAGGGATCAGGTTCCAGGAGGCAGCTCCAGACAAGTGAGGGGCTATGGGGGATGGCAGGGAGGGAACTGGCTGGGTTGGAAACTCTGTTCCAGGAGCTCAGAGTATCACCCTGTTGGGGCTCAGGACGTCACCCAGAAACAGAAGCTGGGAGGGGAGGGAGTCGCCTGGAGCTCCCAACAATGTGCAGTCGCTCTGCTGTGGCTCACCCCCACGCAGGCCCCTGAGACTTCGGGGATACTTAAGAAAGCAGTGTCCACTGTGAGCAGATGGGGGGGGGGGGGGGGGCGGAGGACTCAGGGTCATGGAGCCTCACCTACCAAACCCAAGGGAACCAGGTGAATTTCTGCTATCCCAAGCCTGCTACAAGTGCCTTCCCTCCCTCACACCTGCTCAGGGGGATGGAAAGGAGAGGTATTTGTCTGGGAAGGGAAAGGCAGGGGTCTGCAAAGCTTCTCTGCTCTTCCCAACTCTACTCACATGATGTGCACGATGACGCCCATGCCCGACACTGCGTCCCGGTCCACGGCATTCAGCATGGCTTGCGAGATGGTTTCAAACAGGTGTTCTGGATCCTGCCCCCAAAACAGAAGCCTTGGCCCCAGAGCCTTGGACCCTAACTTGGCTTGACCCCTTAACTCTCTTTTTTCTGGGCTCAAGGTCCGCAACTCTGGCTATACCCATGCCTGAAGTGAGGGGTGGTTCCCAGGATGTGGGAAGCCCCCTCGGCTCCCCCAGAGGAAGCAGGGTGTGTAAGGCAAAGTGAAGAAGAACGTAAGCCCTGAGCTTCCTTCACTAACCAGCAGTGACCTTGGGCAAGTTACACATGCCTTTACTAAGCTCAATCCCTTCTTCTGTAAAATGAGGCGAATCCCTGTTTGACTTCCACGTGCTTTACGAGCTGTCTATGGGCTCTCCTCCCGGGGGTCACCAGGTACATCAAAACTTACCTGTCCAACCATGGGCCCACTCCTTCCAAACCTGTTCCTCCTACATCCTCCATCTTAGCTGGCTTGGCCAGAAAACTCATATCCACGTTGTCTCCACCTCCCTCACTTCTGTTTGAAGCAACCCAATCCTCCAGACCAGCTGCTACACCCACCCCCCACCCCACAACCATCTTCGCTCAGGCCTCACTCAGCGCCTCCTACAGGTGACCACAATCAGCCTGCGGCATCTACCCTCGGGCTCTGCATCCTGACTGCCTTTGACTTCGGGTACTAGGGAGAAGTTCAAACTCTCTGGCACGGCATTCAAGGCCTTTGAAGTCTCAGCCCACCCGTGCTCTCCACCATGATCTCACCCACACTCGGCCCACCTTCCAGCAGCCACGCAGACGCTCTCTCACCACTGAACACACCTGACTCCTCGCACACCTTCGCAGAGGCTGCTGCTTCTGCCAGCCAGGCCGTCTGCTTCCCCGCTTCCTG